CTGCGCTATGGAAGTAGCAGTTCCAAGTAAAAAACACACACACACACACGTTACGTTATAATTCAGTAATTCGATTTATTTGATGTGTACTCTTTGAAGAAGAAAACGCAAGTAAGTAAATTTCTGTTGATGCTACATTTTCAATTTTGACATTTGACATTATACAAGGTTGCATGAATATGTGAATTGTTTCAGGGTTTTATTTCAACAAAAATATGGGTATATTTATTTTCGGTTCAGAACAATCCTAGGGGGCGGCGGCATGAAAATTCCGACTTTATTATTTTGGACCACTCTAATGTACATATGTGTGTATATACAAAACGTAAGCAAACATTTTGCTTGCATAGTCTTCTGTTCTCTTTCATTGCAAGTTGAATTATTTTAATATCTATTGCAAAATTTTGTACATAAAATAAAATAACACTTTTTAATATACAACACTTTTATAAATGGACTAAACATTAGAAAATAAAATAATGTAAAAAAAATATTTTTTTAAAACAACCTTTTATTTAACATGTACAATCAAAGGAATAAAATAAAGTAGTGAAACAAAAGTTTTTAGCAAGAAAATTTTGTCAAAACTGCACTAAAATTAATACAATAAAATAAGTTAAGGTCTCGTTAAAGTTACTAAAAGCTATTTAGTGAAAGGAGTTATTCAAACTCTAATGAAAATTACTAACAATTTGTACTAATTTACTTCGTTTTTAAAAAAGCTATATATATATATATATCTTAACCCATTACCGCCCACTGTACACGCTTGTGTACACCTATTTATTGGGCGTTTTCTCGGTTTTTGTCTTCGATAATTTAGAAAAGTGCTAGTTGTTTGCAATCATATTAATAGGCTTTGCATAATGTCTAAATGTGTACACCACGCTTTTCAGGTAACACCGTTTTCTCAATTTCATTGTATATATTAGGTATTTTCAAGATATTTTTTTTCAGCGTTTCTTGCGACTTTATTTTAATTAAAAATTATAATAGTCACATATTAATTTTCTTTAACTGTGCGAAAGGTGAGTTTTTGTCGTACTGTACACAACCGTTACTGATTCTAAGTGGATATCATGAATTGCCTACCGAGCGTGCTTACTGGAGTTTAGACGAAGACTTGGGCGTTCCACTAATAGCAAATTGTATGTCTCGTAATAGGTTTTTAGACATAAAAAGAAACCTCCACTTCGGTGATAATTCGCAAGCCGAAAACTGAAATATGAAAAAACTGGCAAAACAGTTCATTATGGGAAAACCTGTGAGGTTCGGATATCGAAACTGGGCAGCAACTAGTTCGGATGGATATTGTTACGCATTTGATATATATTGCGGCAAATCGACAGAAGTTTCTTCTGATCCGCTTGGCACGAGAGTCGTAAAATCTCTGTTAGAAAAAAGGCCGATCAACCCACAAGAGCATATTGTTTACTTCGATAACTCTTTTACGAATTACCAGTTGTTGGTGGATTTAGGTCGTTTAGGTTACAGAGCGACAGGAACAATGAGAGAAAATAGGACTAAAAAGTGTCCACTTACCACTGTAAAGGTTATGAAAAAGCAATCAAGAGCGGTATTCGACTATCGATTTGACACAGTAAACGCGATTTTGATTGTGCGTTGGAAGGATAATAATGTGGTTACTATGGCAACTAATTTTGACAGCATGGAGCCTATGGGCAAAGTTAAAAGATGGTGCACAGCCCAAAAGAAAAAAATAGATGTCAATATCCCAAGAGTGCTTGTGAGCTACAATAAAGGAATGGGCGGCGTAGATCAAATGGATCAGTCTATCAGCCTTTACCGGGTAGGCATACGCGGAAAGAAGTGGTGGTGGGTAATCTTTACTTACTTACTGGATATGGCCATTTCTAATGCTTGGAGAATGCA